TTCTAATCAGAGATTTAATGTGCCAAAAGATGATATGAACAACGTATCAAGCTAATGATGGGTCTTCCGGAGGAGCTTTGGGTTGCCTGCCATGGTGTTGCTGCAGCAGCTCGCCACGATCTCAGGGGTGAAGGTCTGCGAATGAGAGGTTTTCCACTTCTGGAGTTCGGCAATATTGCCGATGTCTCGCTGGAGGGGTGGAGAGCAATGTGTCGGGAAGTGTTTGTCGACATGGGAAAAAGGACCTAGCGTGCGCGGTGCGGGCAAAAGGCGGCATTGCTCATTGCGGTCGCTGCCCACTTACTGTAGAAGCGCTCCAACTCCTCGAGAATGTTTACAGGCGCATCATCGAGAACTGATTAATGCTGGCAAGCAGCACCCTTGTGATTTTTAGACTCCCGCTGTGCTTCTTGTAACTATGCTTGTATATAATTATGATAGCATATAATTATGATGGCATAATTATGGTGTAAGGAATGGAAGATGGATTACCCGCTCTTGAGCGTTGACATCGAACGCCTCCTGAAGGCTGAGCGAGCCCAAGGACGGTTCTTTGGGGTCTGTAGCTACGACAGCCTACCACATCTCCACGATGGGCAGTTTTGCATCAGCAACACGGACAACATCTACCCTCTCCATGATCCGGTTGAAGGGGGGCACCACTGGCTAACTGTTTGTTGTACTGGAACGCATGTGCTTGTCTTCGATAGCTTTGGACGTGCGCTCGCTGAAAATATCTGCTCAGCTGCGCAGACATTTTCTGGAGGCCTTTCCCGAGCGGGTCATGGTTACGAATACGTTTGCAGTCCAAAGTCGAGCAACGGCTGTCTGCGGGCGCCATGCTGTCCTGGCGGGGCGGCTGTTTATAGAAGAGGGTTCTGTAGAGGGACTTTTAAAAAGATTAAGGGGGATGTTCGGCGAAGACACTCTAGCTAATGATCAGAAGGTGCTCGACCTAGTGCCTCTGACCACTGGTGGTGGTCCTGACGATTTTGAAGCTACGATGTCGCCTACGACACGTAGTGTCAAAGCCGTCGTCCCGACAAGGCATGGTCGCGTTTCCACGGACGGAAGCGTTGAGGAACGTCTCGCAGAGGTGTACTACATTCCTGCGGGGTACTGGCGCGGCCGTGCTGCTATCCCAAAGCTGGCTAAAGAGTCGGGCGTCGGCGAGGATGTGGCTCATGAATGGCTAACAAAACAGGCCATCTGGCAGATCTACTTGCCCGCACCAGCGCGAAGTGCTATCCCCCGACCCATCTACATGCTGACCAGTGATGATTCAGCCTGATAAAGAATCAACTATAAACACAGTCAGTCTATAGAACACAAGCTTAGAGAGAACATAAGCCCATTTCACCTTCTCGTGAAAACGTATGACAAATTTGATAAAAATAACACCGGTGACTGCCTGACAATCTAAATAATCATGAAGAGCAAACAAACAAAGAAAAATCTGGAAAAAAGCCTCATCAGAAAACCAAGGTGTTGAGAAATCTGATTAAACACACTCAGTATATAAAATTGAAAGGACGAAACCACGATTTCGTGAAGCAAATCATGCATGAGGAAGATAGATTAAGTGTAGATGCATTAAATGCTAAGGACAATATAAATCACCTGCTCAAAGCACGTGTAAATAAATATCCTCATTCTGATGAAGGCTCGAAGCAACGAGTCGAAAGCTCAATAAAAATCATTTAAAATCCGGAGAAACTTTTATCTTTTATGTATATATATATATATATATATTGGTAAGAAGAAGAAAATACACAAAAACTACAATTTCATCCCGACAAGCCTGTTTCGTGATTGCTCACTCTTCAGGGGATTTAATGAATAAAATACTTAAATGCTTAAATATATATACAAGATGATGACGGAAGCTAGTGTATTGATCAAGGTGTATATTTTCAAGTTAGATGACGGATGTTAGAGTATTAATTACGGTGTATGGTTACAAATTACATAGGAGTGTTTTGGATCTATGGCGACAAGAGGAAATAAGTTCGTTGCGTTTATTGAGGGATGATTTGGATGGATGGTACAGGATGAAGAATTTTTCTTTGAGGCAAAGGTTGCATCTTTTACTGGTGCTGTTGTATGGTTTGCTGTGTGTAATGATGTTCCATGAGATGTCGTGATCGATATTGCTGTCTTTAAGGGTCCAAATGTGCTTACTGAGCTCGGTCGAGTTTCGTAGTTTTTTGTGGCGGAAAGAGGCAGTGTGATTTCTATGTCTAGTCTTAAATTCGTTTTCTGTAAGTCCAATGTACGTCTCAGTTGTGTTATTGTCTTTGCGTTTTACAGTAGCTTGGTAAATAACGGATGACTGCAGGCAATTTCCGTTAAGTGGGCAGTTTTGTTTTGTCGGCAGTTGCATGTTTTGTAAGTGTCTTTTGTTCGCGGTGTTGTCGTTAGTTTTGTCTGATGTTCTCAGTATATGTTTGTTATGGTTGTTGATTATTTGTTCGATATTGTTCATGCAGCTGTAGCTGAGTTTGATGGTGTTACGGTTGAATATTTTCCTGAGTTTATGGTCTATGGGGAAGTGTTTGTCGATTAATGAAAGGAATTTGTGGCCGATGTTCGTGTAGACGTTTTGCTGAATGGAGGGTTGTACCAAAGTATATTTTGTCGAAGTCTGTTTTCCGTTTGGTAGTAGCGTCTGAGTCGAATTTTAGTGTGTATCGGTATCCGTTTTCGTCGAGTGCTTTTTGGTATGGTGCAGTTATTTGGTCAAATGATGCTTTGTCGGATGATAGTGAAGATAGACGTTTGTTGATGGCGTCGGGTATGTTCTTCGTTATGGTTGGTGGATGGTTGCTTTCGCTGTGGACGTATTGCAGAGAAGAGTTGGGTTTTGTGTAAGGGCGATATGAAAAATTGTTAAGATTGAAGGTGATGTCGAGGAAGTTGATGATTTTTTTGTTTGCTTCAATAGTTATGCGTAGTCCATTGTTGTTGAATATCCGGCATATTCCCTTTTTAATGTTCTCTGTTTCTCGTGGTGTGGTGTTTGAAATGGCAAGTCCGTCGTCTCGATAAAGTCCTATGTCTGTTGTGATGTTTTGTAGTTGAGAAAGGAGGTAGCTTCATACGAGTTCGCATGTCTCAGCTCTGTCGAAGCTACCCATTGTGACGTCGAATGTAGAGTTATATTTTTTTTGCCAGGGTTGTTTGTTGTGTATAAGGAATGAATTCTTAGCGTGTATAATGATGTTTTTTTCGGCGTTTGTGATGTTGTCGTAGGTTGAGGCGAAATCCAGTGCTTTGTTTAGTAGGTCTTGATTAATGGATTGATAAAAGTCTACGATGTCGAAGGATATGAAGGTGACGTTTTTTTTTGAATAAAATACTTAAATGCTTAAATATATATACAAGATGATGGTGTTTGCTTCGACATCGTAGACTTTTATCAATCCATTAATCAAGACCTACTAAACAAAGCACTGGATTTCGCCTCAACCTACGACAACATCACAAACGCCGAAAAAAACATCATTATACACGCTAAGAATTCATTCCTTATACACAACAAACAACCCTGGCAAAAAAAATATAACTCTACATTCGACGTCACAATGGGTAGCTTCGACAGAGCTGAGACATGCGAACTCGTATGAAGCTACCTCCTTTCTCAACTACAAAACATCACAACAGACATAGGACTTTATCGAGACGACGGACTTGCCATTTCAAACACCACACCACGAGAATCAGAGAACATTAAAAAGGAAATATGCCGGATATTCAACAACAATGGACTACGCATAACTATTGAAGCAAACAAAAAAATCATCAACTTCCTCGACATCACCTTCAATCTTAACAATTTTTCATATCGCCCTTACACAAAACCCAACTCTTCTCTGCAATACGTCCACAGCGAAAGCAACCATCCACCAACCATAACGAAGAACATACCCGACGCCATCAACAAACGTCTATCTTCACTATCATCCGACAAAGCATCATTTGACCAAATAACTGCACCATACCAAAAAAGCACTCGACGAAAACGGATACCGATACACACTAAAATTCGACTCAGACGCTACTACCAAACGGAAAAACAGACTTCGATAAAATATACTTTGGTACAACCCTCCATTCAGCAAAACGTCTACACGAACATCGGCCACAAATTCCTTTCATTAATCGACAAACACTTCCCATAGACCATAAACTCAGGAAAATATTCAACCGTAACACCATCAAACTCAGCTACAGCTGCATGAACAATATCGAACAAATAATCAACAACCATAACAAACATATACTGAGAACATCAGACAAAACTAACGACAACACCGCGAACAAAAGACACTTACAAAACATGCAACTGCCGACAAAACAAAACTGCCCACTTAACGGAAATTGCCTGCAGTCATCCGTTATTTACCAAGCTACTGTAAAACGCAAAGACAATAACACAACTGAGACGTACATTGGACTTACAGAAAACGAATTTAAGACTAGACATAGAAATCACACTGCCTCTTTCCGCCACAAAAAACTACGAAACTCGACCGAGCTCAGTAAGCACATTTGGACCCTTAAAGACAGCAATATCGATCACGACATCTCATGGAACATCATTACAAACAGCAAACCATACAACAGCACCAGTAAAAGATGCAACCTTTGCCTCAAAGAAAAATTCTTCATCCTGTACCAACCATCCAAATCATCCCTCAATAAACGCAACGAACTTATTTCCTCTTGTCGCCATAGATCCAAAACACTCCTATGTAATTTGTAACCATACACCGTAATTAATACTCTAACTTCCGTCATCTAACTTGAAACTATACACCTTGATTAATACACTAGCTTCCGTCATCATCTTGTATATATATTTAAGCATTTAAGTATTTTATTCATTAAATCCCCTGAAGAGTGAGCAATCACGAAACAGGCTTGTCGGGATGAAATTGTAGTTTTGTGTATTTTCTTCTTCTTATCAATATATATATATTTATATATATACTATATCTTTCATTGAAAATGACTCAGTACTATTTTTATGAATGTTTTCTCTCAATTTCAATTTACCGTTATCTGCGATGAAAATTTACGAAAATTGCATCTTTGAACAAATAATTTGCGCTAAATTTGTGTTGTTTTTCTCAGTTTTATTAGGGATACCAATATACATACTTCCTGGTGAATGGGTTATGTTTAATTGCAGTGTAAATCACAACGATTTAAGTTCTCAAATTCTGAACAGCAAACGAGAAATTTTACATGTTGACAACAAGCAAATAAAAATATTAAGCAAAAATGTTTTCAATGTTACAAACTTGACAAAATCAGATATATACACCTGCAACCGTTGCCAAGTGCACTACAATATCATGGTTCAATCAGGTAAGACGACTCAATATGATAAATGATATCCCAAATTACTCTTAACCCAGTTAATAGTCTTTGCTTTAACAAGAAAATTTTGAAGAAATTTCATTCGACTTCTCAATTTATTTTTTTTAATTTGATCTTTGTTTTGTGAAATTACTCAGGCCTGAAATTAAATCACTGTTTTGTATATTCTAGAAATTCCATCCTATCAAGTACCTTTAATCACAAAAGAACCAGACAAAACAATATATGATTACAAGGAACGTGTTACATTGAATTGCAAGCTTATTGGCCCTTCATATTTAATAAAATATTTTTACAAAAGATTATGGAAAAGAAATGGTAAGACAGAAAAGAAATGCAAAAGAGACTGCAAGTTGCCAATTAACATAACACCTGAAAGCGTAGGAAGCTACGAGTGCTCAATTGAAAGAAAACTCGTTCACTACAAATCTTCTCAGAAAGTTACGATAAAACTCAAAGGTAAATTAATTAGTTATTTTGTCTAAATTAATTTCCCATCGTTTGTAATTTTTGGAAATTTAAATCACTGTTCAAATACACTACATGTCACATTATGTATATACCATGCAAATGAAAGCAATTTGGTATATACAAATTGTATACAATTTCATATTTCTGTCATGTTCGCTACACTGTGTTTCCTCACAAGAAAGCTATCTTCAAGAGACGAATCAATCATCTCTTATATCAGGTTGGTCTTTTTAATGTATGTAATGACGTAGCTAAATTTTACAATTGGTCGTCTTTATTTTTCACTTGTGTGGTCTGAATTTGTATTTATCAGTAGGCATCTGGGGGAAAAAACTGATCTCTTACTGAATGTTTTCATTTGAAATAAAAAGGGGTTGTTTCTCTTGAGCGTGCAAGATACAGAAACGTGAGTCAGCAGAGTTGGGTGGGATGCATGTAAGAACTCTTCATTTCATCCCGTATAAGGTCAAACATTCTCTTTTAATTTCCGGAAATAATTTAACAACTCTGTTTCAATATAACACCTGGCCGACTCGGTTGGATATTAGTTGATTCGCCTGATGATGCCTTGTGAGTGAAAGACAGTGCTCATATAATATCATGTAATGATAACGACGTTGAAAACAATAGAAAGTGTATGACATATATATCATGTACAACTTTTTGCATTGTAATATTTACTAAATTGGGTTGTTATCATTTATATTTTGAAAATATAGAATTTATCAAACCAAATATTTATATTGAAAATGACGCCGACGTGTTTTCCCTTGGTGAAGGAAAGAATTTAACGTTTACCTACAACGTAACGTCTTATCCTGCTGCAGATATCTTTTGGTGGCGTTTAAAAGATGATGAACTCATAACAAGTTGTTATTCTGCTAATAACCTGTGCAAAAACCACACAGGACCAGAATATATAACAAGAAGCAAGTTTGAAGTTAAATCTGTCACATTTCCTAAATACAATCGATTCTACAAGATAAATGCCACCAATATCAAAGGATATGAGATGAAGACCATTTCAATACAAGTCCTCGGTTAGTCCTTTTAATTAACTGGTCGAATTACTGTAAACTCCCAACATTTCTTCAATATAAAATATATAATATAAATGCATGAATACAAGCATATATGAATGCATGAGCTCTGTAATACAAGGAACAAACTTTTTATCTCTTCACAAACCCGAATTTTTTCATTTATGTACTCAACAATGGCCGAAACATTTTTGTTGCTTGATTGCTTGGCAATGGCAAAGCATTTTTTCATAAAGTCACATGATTTGGAACTCCCAAAATGTACGAACTTTAACTTTCTTAAATTTGAAACAAATGATGCAAGTTAAACAACTTTCTTAGCTCCAAAATATTTTATTTAATTTCGGGGATAAAGTATTTTTATTGCAAAGTTGCTAGTAGATTTGCTTTTTAAATTTCTCACTTTGATCGTAAGGGAGTTTGATGTTGAAATTGTTCGTACAACTCTCCAGTGTTAATGACACTGTGTCATCCAGACTGAAATTATTCATTTGATATTCTGATGGTTTTACAGTGCCACCATCCATCAGCAGAGGAAATAGTAAATATTTCACAGCACGACACAACACTGAAGGCGAGATTAAATGCATGATAGGATGGTCTAATCCAAGACCCAATATAACTTGGTATCAACAAATCGTTATCAACAGTAGTGAACCTGTTTCGAATAACTGGACCCTTTCACTGTATAAGTCTTCGTTTGAAAAAGAAAAAAACAAAGGACAATATGAAAGTATTTTGAAGATACCGTGGTCTGAGGATGAAGCCTCAATGTTGTTCAGATGTGTTGCTCAAAACATTCATGGAAATGACAGTAGAATGTTTATGTTTATCCGATATGGTAAGTTTTTTTTTATTTGTATGGTAAATATTGTTTATTAATGTTAAATTGATTGTGAAATGTTTCGTTTTTTTTTCTGTAGGAGATAACTTTGATCCTTTTAAAGTTTTTCCTTCTGGGGAAGTAATTTTAAATGAAAACGAGGACTTTATGGCAATTTGCAGAGTAGATGTTTTGATTCGTGATAATATTGCTTTTTACAAAGAAAATCCTCGTCGTGAAGTGATAAATAATGAAAGAACAAACATCACCATAAGTAGAAATCCTCAATATCGTAACGTTACAATGAAAATAAGAAATATCAACATCAATGATTCTGGAACTTACAGATGTAGTGAAAAAAATGCTCTCACTAATGAACGTGCTGTTGTAACGTTGAATGTACGAGGTTAGTTGCTTTGAAATTTTTTATCATCAAAAACATAAAGAAAAGTTTGTAAAAAATTTCCCAAATTCTTGCTGTGTAACACAAGGAACAAACTTTTTATCTTTTCACAAACTATCTAAACTATTTTATTTGTAATTTATTTAGCTAATTATATGAAATTTTGTAAAGTGCTTTTTTCTGGTTATTTTATTGTATAGAATTTCATCCTCCAATAATTTATGGCATGAAAGATTCAACAATGGATCAGTTTAAAGGTGACAACATCGAGTTGATTTGTAATGTGTCAGGTAATCCTCAGCCCAAGGTTATATGGTCAAGAAATGGTGAAGAAATTAATGGTGAAACAATAAAAAATTGCAACAGTCAAGTTCCAAAATATTACTTCAAGAATGATGGAACAACTCTTATTATTTGTGGCGTTGATATTTCACAATCGGGAAATTACACATGCTTTGCAGAAAATCAGTTAGGAAACGTCACCGCAACTGTTTATCTTAATGTTACTGGTAATTAGACTTTGCAAAAATAGATTTATTGAAGATAAAATTTTATAGTTTAATTAAGGTTCACGTGAAAATGTTCTAAGAATTGTTCTGCAATTTTTGTTTTGCTAAACTATATATCATTCAACTTTCAACTTTTATCAGTTGCAAACATTATTTAGTCCTGCTATGTAAATTTGTATGTGCTCACTTACTAGAAAAACAATAACTTTCTAAAGAAATAAATAATGATAGTGATCTGAAATGTAGCCACATTTCATGGACTAAAACTTTCTGCCGAAGAAAAGAAAACTTTCCGTTGTGTAGGAAGTGGTAATCTTATACCTTGGGTACAATGGATTTTTATTGACAGTTTATAAAAAAGAAAGGGGTAGTTATTATTTTTATAAGGCATGGAACCTTTTCGTTCTAAAGACTGTAAAGAAATATGAATTTGTTGTTGTCACTTGAACATCGACCTCAAGGTTAGCACGCGTTTTCATTTCGCTTATAAAATGTATTGAAAATCATCGTTTTTTAAGAGCTTTATAAATTGTCGCGAAAAAAAATTGGACGAAATAAATTTTATAGTTTCGGTAATTTCAACCCAGATATGCCGAAAAGGCGAAAGTTATAACAGAAATTAATCTTTGTATAAATGAAATTCCCAGCGTGATCAACTTTCAAATAAGAGAACAAAATTTAATACTAGTGTGTCCATTTGAACGACAAAACTAATTTTGAAATCGTTTCAAAACACTAAAGCAATCAATACTCGCCTGTATACGTACTTTCAATACATTTTATACTTTTTTTTAAACTGTCGTGGTAATTGAAAAATGTTACCTCCAGCTTATTTAAAGTTGATTATAAATTTGGAGATCAGTTGCAATTCACAACTTTTCATTCACGATTATCTTTGTATGTGACCAGTGAGTGACCATGAATTTATGAATGGCTAAGTGACTAGTTTTTATGGTCCTAACTTCTTTTTCATTCTCCTATTCTCAGAGACTCTCATTTACGAACGATAAACATTTATTTTAAATGATTTTTCATGGAGATGTTCAGTATGAGCAGAGGCGTAGGAGGCAAGTAAAAGTTGGGGAGACACTTCTTGCAAAAATGGGCACTTGAGTTGTAAAAAAAGAGCACGTTTTTATGTTAAATTTTAAAGTTGGGAGTAAAACGATCCAATTGTGCCCCCTTTCTTATGTGACTGAATATAAGTAAGGATCGAGCTTATATGCTTCTGCAAAATAACGAGATGTTTGCGGAATGTAATGACCTCGAAAAAAATTTATTAAATTAGACAAGAAAACTTTATGCTTCATGCTATGACTTGGATATAACAATTGACAAAGTTTATGATTCTATCGTTTTTTTCTTGTCTTTTCTTCATAAAGTAAAACTAACAATTTAATGTCCAGATACGTGGATGTTTTTGTATTTTAATTTAAGTGTAAGGTGTGAATGGTTAGAAAGAACTATTTTACAGATTCAAGATTTATAAAATCAGTCAAAATTCATGTCTCGCTTTTTTTTAACTCTGATTAAAGTTCACAGCACACTTACCCAACTTTTCTAAATAGATCGTGAAGGTCATTGCCATTAGCAACCTATTCCTTGAAGGGATGATGGGACGCAAGTGTCAGAGAGTGAACTCATGACGATTGTCAGGAATCAAAATTTCTCTTTGTATGTGAATATAACCATTCGAAAAATCCTGGATATATGTTTAGAAAGTGATAAAAGCAGTTTGCTACCCAAAAATGTTTGTTCTTTGCCGCTTTGCGATATACTTGCATCTTACAAAAGTTGTTGACAAAGCGAAAAATTCAAGTGCAAATTTATACGAACCTTGTATTGACCGGATGTAAACCACTGAATGCAAACCATTCAGACCGGATGTGACATAATGTAGTATCCACCACAAAATACGCATAACTATTTGACATTCAGACTTCACTCTTTCAGAATTCAGATTGACAATGATCAACGACACATGCAGTATGTTATATTGTACTTCAGTGTGTGCATGGTCCTCGTGTACATAAAATACGTTTCTTGTGTACGACTTGCAGTTTTGGAGTTTCTGGATGTTTTACTAATGTATGTATGGATTAAAATATTGTTTATATACAAGTCACGATCTATTAAATTGGTTTAGTTAGATTGATCAATTGTATTAACGGCTGGTGCTCTTCTTGAAACTTTCTCATATTATCGCATTGGATTGTTTGTCAATAATGGTGTTTGTTTGCTCAAAATCAAGATGTTATGGAGTAATTTTCTTTCTAATAATGTCCATAATCGTTGGAGTATTCTCGCAAACTCTACCAAACAGTAAGTTTTCTTTCATTCATGCTTCTTATTTTAGACTTCTAGATAAAATAGCAAACGCCGAATATGCTAAAGAAAAAACATTCTTTCCATGAATAACGCTATTTGTCGCGGTTTAACACAAGTGTCTGTTTTAAACGTAATTCTTAACATTGCACAACGTTATTTGTGTATTTTTGAAGCTCAGTTTTCATACAGTTATAAAACCGTTCTTAAATTATAAACGTAAACGATATGGGAGGTTTCTCGCTTTTTCTTGTAATTACCATTCATTTTAAAACGTTTAGACCATTCGTTCATTCAATTTTAGAACCCCTAATGTTCATTGCACGCTTTTGTTTATGTTTACATCGTTAATTTTTGAGCCATCGGTACACTGAATCCTTGTTCGCTGCTATACGTCATCTAATTTAGCTGAAACATGCGAGTGCTGAGTTGGTACAAACTTCGAAACGGACACAGGTATACGTAAATTTTACTTCACAGTGAAAGAAAATCCTCGTCGTGAAGTGATAAATAATGAAAGAACAAACATCACCATAAGTAGAAATCCTCAATATCGTAATGTTACAATGAAAATACGAAATATCAACATCAATGATTCTGGAACTTACAGAGGTAGTGAAAAAATGCTCTCAGTAATGAACGTGCTGTTGTAACGTTGAATGTTCGAGGTTAGAACGTGTATAAACGTGTATACATTTATACTTTATTGTTAAACGTTCACGATAAGTACGAATAGTTCAGACAAATCACAACGACACTAAAGATGCTCAACAGCCTGAGAAGATAGAGTCCATTGTTTAAAGCATATTGTTTACATTATTTTGTGAATTGGAAACGAAGATACGTAGGAACTGCCAATTGAAGAATTTTAAGAATTGCAAAATATCACCTTCTTATATTTTGTTGAAAATCAACAATTTGGTAAACTTTCTGAAATTGTTAATACCACAGGTGAAGGAAAGCTAAGTTATTTAGATGGACTTACCTTTCTAAAAACCCATGTAAATCTCAAACTTCCATGGTTGGCACAATGCAAGTTTCTACACCATGGTTGGCACAATGCAAGTTTCTACACCATGGTTGGCACAATGCAAGTTTCTACACCATGGTTGGCACAATGCAAGTTTCTACACCATGATTGGCGCAATGCAAGTTTCTACACCATGGTTGGCACAATGCAAGTTTCTACACCATGGTTGGCACAATGCCAGTTTCTACACCATGGTTGGCACAATTGAAGTTTCTACACCATGATTGGCACAATGCCAGTTTCTACACCATGGTTGGCACAATGCAAGTTTCTACACCATGATTGGCGCAATGCAAGTTTCTACACCATGGTTGGCACAATGCAAGTTTCTACACCATGATTGGCGCAATGCCAGTTTCTACACCATGGTTGGCACAATTGAAGTTTCTACACCATGATTGGCACAATTGAAGTCTCTACACCATGGTTAACACCATGTAAGTCTCTACATCATGGTCAACACCATGTAAGTCTCTACAACATGGTTATCATCGTGAAAGTTTCTACACCATGGTTAACACCATGTAAGTCTCTACACCATGGTTAGCAACATGAAAGTCTCTACACCATGGTTATCATCATGAAAGTCTCCAAATCATGGTCAACACCATGTAAGTCTCCACACCATGGTTATCATCATGAAAGTTTCTACACCATGGTTATCATCGTGAAAGTTTCTACACCATGGTTAACACCATGTAAGTCTCTACACCATGGTTAACAATATGTAAGTCTCTACATCATGGTCAACACCATAAAAGTCTCCACACCATGGTTAGCAACATGAAAGTCTCTACACCATGGTTATTATCATGAAAGTTTCTACACCATGGTTATCATCATGAAAGTCTCCACACCATGGTTAACACCATAAAAGTCTCCACACCATGGTTAACACCATGTAAGTCTCTACATCATGGTCAACACCATAAAAGTCTCCACACCATGGTTAGCAACATGAAAGTCTCTACACCATGGTTATCATCATGAAAGTCGCCAAATCATGGTCAACACCATGTAAGTCTCTACACCATGGTCAACACCATGTAAGTCTCCACACCATGGTTAGCAACATGAAAGTCTTCACACCATGGGAAAACAGCATTTTACACATTGTTTGTTTCAAATAGTTATAAGTCAATTTAAACTGATTTCACCAATGTATTATAAGGAGCAACCCCTATAAAATTTATGTGTTGTGATAATTATAATTTAGAAATCATTTATTATTACGTACTAATGATTTCATGTTATAAATTATCCCCAAACGTACATGTTTCATAATGTACCTCTAGGTCCTCATGTTTTGTATGCCACTGATATCCATCAACGATTTAAGGCGACTTTAGGATTTTAAGTTAGTTACAAATCACAAAGTAAACGTTTTTTTCATTTGAAATTTCAGCTGACTAACTTGGATGATTATTTGTAGTCGCGTAATCATGTTTGATCAAGCTACAGATAAGAAATCATCTCTAAAAAATAAATCATAATTTTAAACTGAAACGCTGAAGGAGAAATTATTTCATTTATTTCTCAGAATCGTGATCTGCATTGATCTTATATATATTTTGCAAAGATGCGAATTTTTTAAGTTTTTAAATTTTAGGCAAAGGACAATGAACACTTATTGCAATATAAACTAGATTATATCATGAAAAATTGCAGAACTTTCAAACAACTAACTTATGAACTTCAAACATGGATGTTTAGAGGGTTTATGAAGTACATTAAATTTACTTGTTATGTCTTAGTTTATTTTATAGATTAAAACCGACTTTAAAGTAATTCGTTTTTTAATTTTCAATCGGACCTAGATTCTTTATATTGCATTTGTTGTTAACATTTCCCAGGAGACAATTTATAGAGTCAAAATATCACCAAATGAATTATTGTGTCTTGATTTTTTCCTTGGAACTCATAGCTATATTGAGTTTGCAAGATGTCTTTGTTTGTCGTAGTATGTTTCATCCTTTTTGTCCATTACTCGAAGCAGATAATGAAATTAAAAATTCCATTCAATAATCAGCAAATAACTTAAGGATTTTTAAATTATTGCTTTTGCCAGTTGTCAGTGAGCCATTGACCAAGAATTTATGAATTGTATTTCAAACGGTCCAATTCTCTTCATGTATTCTCAAAAGAGAGGCATCTCCGATGAAGATGCTTAAAGTTTGATTTGAGCTTATGCTTCTTCTAACTTAACGAGATGTTAGATGAGTTGTCTGAGCTAAAAGTTTATTTAGGGAAAAAGATTACTGGAATAACATGAATGAGTTTTAATTCGAAAGATTGTAGCGTTCCTTTTTCAGCAGGTATCCGTTTGGATAGATTTAATATTTGACATTTTCGTAGTATTTAAAAGTTTTCCTTTTATAATATAAACATGATAATTGGTAATATGACTATGATTTGTATTATTTCATTAACAGAAATAAAAGTGCTCATTTCTAGCAAAAAGTAAGTAGCGTAAAATAGGAAAAATTGGTGCCATGTATATTTAAATATCCAAAGTCTCAAGAAGTCACACGTTTGCAGTAACGACAGTCAAAATAAGATTTATAATGATAATATTTATATGTTTTCACTAAAAAGACTTTCTCCATTGTGCTCTTTTATCGTTTATTGTACAAGTTATAATTCATCACTAGGGCAAGAATATGGTGCAGTGGCGCGCTGTCAATTTTTTTTGTTGGAGGAGGGCGGGGGGGTCTTAGAAACCAATATCGGTAACGAATTTTGAATAGAGGACAGAAAATTTTTCTATACTTGTAACATTTCATCAAGTTATAGGAGATTGGGAAAATGTGAAAAGTATAAAAGTTATATATCGTGGATCATTTTTATAAAATTCTCCTTTATTAGTTGAGAAATATTTTACTAAAATTGAATTGCAATGGACATATCAACGGAACAGATGGAAGCACATGCTGCAATTCTTTATATTGCATTTGTTGTTAACATTTCCAAGAGACAATTTATAGACTCAAAACATCACCAAATGAATTATTGTGTCTTGATTTTTTCCATCGAGCTCATAGCTATGTTGAGTTTGCAAGATGTCTTTGTTTGTCGTAGTATGTTTTATCCTTTTTGTCCATTACTTGAAGCAGATAATGAAATTAAAAATTCCAATCAATAATCAGCAAATAACCTCCGAATTTGAATTATTGCTTTTGATAGTTGTCAGTGAGCCAATGACCAAGAATTTATGAATTGTATTTCAAACGGTCCAATTCTCTTCATGTACTATGAAAAAAGAGGCATCTCCGATGAAGATGCTTAAAGTTTGATTTGAGCTTATGCTTCTTCTAACTTAACGAGATGTTAGATAAGTTGTCTAAGCTAAAAGTTTATTTACGGAAAGATTACTGGAATAACATGAATGAGTTTTAGTTCGAAAGATTGTAGCGTTCCTTTTCAAGCAGGTATCCGTTTGGATATATTTAATATTTGACATTTTCGTAGTATTTAAAAGTTTTCCTTTTATAATATAAACATGATAATTGGTAATATGACTATGATTTGTATTATTTCATTAACAAAAATAAAAGTGCTCATTTCTAGCAAAAAGTAAGTAGCGTAAAATAGGAAAAATTGGTGCCATATATATTTAAATATCCAAAGTCCCAAGAAGTCACACGTTTGCAGTAACGACAGTCAAAATAAGATTTATGATGATAATATTTATATGTTTTCACTAAAAAGACTTTCTCCATTGTGCTCTTTTATCGTTTATTGTACAAGTTATTATTCATCACTAGGGCAAGAATATGGTGCAGTGGCGCGCTGTCAATTTTTTTTGTTGGAGGAGGGCGGGGGGGGTCTCAGAAACCAATATCGGTAACGAATTTTGAATAGAGGACAGAAAATTTTTCTATACTTGTAACATTTCATCAAGTTATAGGTGATTGAGAAAATGTGAAAAGTATAAAAGTTATATATCGTGGATCATTTTTATAAAATTCTCCTTTATTAGTTGAGAAATGTTTTACTAAAATTGAATTGCAATGGACATATCAACGGAACAGATGGAAGCACATGCTGCAAGATTAATATTGAACGCTTGCTTTTTAACATTATTGCTGTACATTATTGGTGTACAATTTCGTAGGAGCACAATACTCATGAAGTATGCCTAAACATGTTTGCTCTAAATAAATTGGTCGTGTATTTTAAATGTTTATTGATTATTGGTGTATCACCGAATCGTTAAATTGGCTTCATTATCGTTGGGAAATTGTCTGAAGACAAAAGGTAAGTAGATATTAAGATATGATAATTTATGATTAGATTTCCAGTTTAGATGAAACATTAATGCTGTAGCATTGAAATTCATGATGGTTAAATTGCTATAAGCTCTATATTCTGTTTCTGCATAATAAGTTTTTGCTTGAAGCTACGAAGGCAACATCGACATGGATTTTTTGTAAACAATGAAAGAATGTAAGGGTGCAGTCGTTTAAAGAGAATCATTCACCTCGAAGACATTATTTGGGCTTGTTTCTTATAAGGACAGAATATTTTTATGATCAAACTTAAGATTGAAGCATAGGCAAATGTAATTCTAATTTAGTTGTTATCAGCAGATCCGTGCCACTTTTTTGTTTTTATATTTAGATATTTGTATTCGTAGTTTTTCGACGGAATAAACAGTTTATGAAAAAAAAACCCGTTTCTATTTAAAATTTAGAAAATGTATTTTGGTACTCCTATTCACACACAAGATTTAGAAATAGATAAAGATTTACAAAGCAAAGTATAAAAAAAGCTTAAAGCTGACTGGTTGATTTTCTTCATGCTTTCCCTTATTAGAAGACACGGCGGACGACTTATAAAAAAAATCAATAACAACATCAATTTTTTGATATTTTTCCTACTATATAATAGATGGTACTGTATGCATAAACGAGCATGATCTACAGCAAAAAAATTCGTGATGAAGATGAGATTCATCACCAAAAATGTTAACTACCCAAATTTATTATTTATTTCCAAGAACAATTTCCCAATCCACTTTTTTGTGTGCTGTAAAACCAATAAATTTTAAAAAAGAGGCTTAATTTCCACGCTTGTAAGAGAGATACAAGGAGATGTGTATGGATTGACGTATATAATTTCTGCGTTTGCGGTTTGCATTTAAAGTTTTTATCCATCAGCAAATAAAAAACAGATAAACCAAATATAAACCAAAAGCTTCGATATTTTGATATTTACGATAATAATAGTTGTATGTTTTCAGTGTTCTATCATCGAGCTTGTGCAGCTATGATTTTCCATACAATTGCAGTTTTAAGGATAAAAAATGATGCGTTTTGTTGTCATCTTGTGGTTGATGCTGGCCGTGACTCTTAAACTGGCCGTCAAATCGGGATGGAACAAAAAGTTTGAATTTTGTGAAGATAAATGGAATGTGTTTGTTCAAGAAAAAAATAAATCGGAAGAAAGGTGCGGAAATTTGTCTTTAACTAATGGTTGCATCGAAGAGAAAAATTATCTTTTGGAACGATTCAGGATGTTCAGTGAAATTTGTCCACTTGAAGGTAATCTATATATTTTACATTTGCCTTTACATATGTACTTTCATATAAAAGTTTACTGTTGGAGAAGATTTAATTTGCAAAATCCTAAGGTAGAAAAAGGTATACTTGTATTTTTTTACATATCTATTGCGTATGCAAAACTGCAGACCTACGTAAATTGGTAACATTGCTGTATCAGAAACATGGATTTCCTTACTAAAGAGTCAAGTTTAGCAAGATCAAATGATTAAGTTGTTGGCTTTTTAGTCTGAAAAATAGAAATTAAACTGTTTTTCAGTTTTATTCCATAGCTACGTTCATCGTTAATGGATGTAGCTTGTCATGGTCTGTTTCTTATGCAGATCTAACGACTTTCTTATACATCACTCTCCTGCTACATATGGTAATACGACCATGCATGTCTATTTTTATTTATTAAATAAAATTTTTCAGGTAAATGTTGGTGTGCAAAAAATGTCGTGAACAAGATGCCCGAACTTGGGAAACGAGTAGCAAATATATCTTGGAGTGAACCGGAAAACTTCACTTGTCCTCATAAATACATAAAAGAAGGAGAAGAAAAGTCAAACATTAGTTCTCCACAGTTGTTCTTAATAGGACAGCACAAAATTCCGTACAAGCACTTTCTGTATGGAGGAAAAAATTCAACATGCTATGTTCATATTAACGTTATATGTAAGTATAACCATGTTTGGAAATTGGTATGAACATATAGATCATATATATAGAATAAGTTGTTTGAGAAAGATACAACTCGCGGTTTTTCGTCAATTATGCACTCATATTCCTTTGGAATTTTGATTACATAAAGAAGAGGTGTCCCGATAAGCACACTAGACATCTTTATGACTTCAATATAAAGTTGAATTATGTCATGCATGTCAAAACGTTGATCTACCTTAAAAATAAATTCATCAATTTAAGTTGAACTATGTATACGAGTACAAAATTTCAATGTAAGAAGTCGAAGTTCATTCGTGAAAATCATAGTAAAAATCTAGCTTTAGTTCAATTATAGTTGAAATTATCGTTTTGTTACAAACAAATTTTTATCAGCTCAAAAATTGTGATCATTTCGCCGACAGGGGTGGATCTAGGATTTTTCAAACATCAGTCATAAAACGTCGGAGGCGCTCCGCACCTGGGGGGTGGGGTCTGAGGTATTCTCCCCTGAGAAATTTTGAATTTCAGAGCCTTGAAAATGCCATTTTCAGCTTTTTAGAGCAATACAAAATGTATTTTGTGGGCATCGTTTTTTCAAAAAAAAATAAAGTGAACAATACTTGAATGTTTTGCCAAATATTTAGGCTCATTATCATGCCAAATATATGGCTCATTAGCATGTCTAGGAACGTAAAATTTATTTTACAATAATGCTATTCCAAAAAAGACATTGTCTTTAAAAATTTCTACCAAATTGTCAGGCATAGACCCACCTAAGACCCCCATTCAAACCTCTATGTAATGAGTCAAGTTAGAAATGTGGTACTACAAAGGACAGTTCATAGATATAGAAAAGCTCAGACTTCAAACCATGCAAGTTTATCGTAACCTTTTACCCATCTCCACATACAGTGCCAGCAAATTCACCTTTTGAAAAAAAACTCAAAATTTTTTTCTTCCAAAGATTAAGCAAAAATGACTCTAAATCACAGGTTATAGTAAACAGCTTCTCATGTAATCAATGTTAGTTTTTTCAAATCTTAAGCAATGTGTAGTATAACTGTCCAATGAATGAATGATCAATGATCATAAACTGAAAAGCCCCAAAAATTTATTTATGATAAAGTAAATAATAGTATGGCGCCTTAGGGCTAGTTGTATAGATACTGCCAGTTCTGGAGCAACTCCGGTCTGGGAGGCTGCGTAAATAAATCTGAGCGCCCCAGCCCTAGTTCGTTTACACATTACTTCGTACTGTGTATACATGGGTCCCGACAAAAATCGCACCAATTCTGGCGCACCTCACAGTTTGAAAAAGAGTATACACAAATCTAAGTGCCCCAGCCCTAACTCGCGTACGTTCTTCTTGTTATTATGCTAGCAAAATATGAAAGTGTTTTTATGCAGTGCGGTGTTTGAAATTAAATGAAGATATGATCTTCGCACTTTGTTGGACAATTTAAGCAATTGTCTCATGAGCCTGAAAAATTCAGGTGACTCAACGGGATTCGAACCCATGACCTCTGCGGTGCCGGTGCAGTGCTCTGACCAACTGAGCTATGAAGTCACACAGTGGTGAGCAGGTCAATTTTTTTGGGCTCATGTTTTCTCGTGAAAGGAATGTGATAAAAACACTTTCATATGTACGTATTTCCGGCATCACTCGCAGTAGGCAGCATAGGATAGAGAGGCACCGTCTACACCGGAGGTGAAGAAGGGGGCGCGGAGGGCTCACACGAGGTCATACTGCTCCAATAGCAATATCACTATAAAACCATCGGTAGGGTCTGTTGAAGAAAACCAAATAACGGCCCCCGCGTCAACCTTTAGTGCAGAGTCGAAAACTGTGAAGGCTGAAACCTGACCGCGTGGCTTGCGCACTTCGAAAGTTGTCTTCTCGACATCGTTCACCTTCAGCCGGGCTGTCGCAACATCGTTTACAGCCGCTGCAATCCCCATGCGAAGCACTCGACTCGAGCTGAGAACCGGGCCAAGCGGAGACCATCCGCCGGCCCCCCTCTCCGCCTGCAGAGTAATACGCATAAGAGGGGGTCCCACCTTCCTCACAGCGCCATCAGAACGACGATACTCAACCCGCTTGGCGGCCTGAGCTTGGGCGAGAACGGTCTCCAGCTGCGTCTAGGTGGGGCGGTCAAAAGCGTATTCCCATACAGCGCGTTAAATTCGTCAAAGGAGCTTTCCTTGCTTGGAGCCAAATCTTGACTGCTTGGGTCATACACAAATCTAACGTCATGCTGATTATATGTATCAGGGGAACTCAAGATAATGCACCCTATAGGTACGTCTCCAATTGTATCCGTACGTGCCCCGGTGGTCCGAGACAACCCGCGGGACTGCGGCATAGCGAGTGAGAAGAGAGGTGCCATCACCCCGCCAGAAGAGATGGAAGTTCTAACCCCAAGTCTTTTGCAGCTTACCGCTGCTCATATGATACTACTCGTTTTCAGCCCGCTCAATCCAGAGACTCTGAATCTGTATCTTGCCATTCTTCAGATTCGCACCCTCCCCAAACCGCGCCACCACAACGTCCTGTCGTACGAGATCAGGCAGCGTTCCTGTAGCAATTCTCGGTAAACCACTCAAACGGTCATCAAGGCCATGGAGGTCAAGCTTGTTTACCTTCAGCTGTGCGACAGTATGAGAGAGAGTGCCCTCAGTATCCTCATTCCCAATTTTTGTTTTGTTTTGCACCACATCATCCTGCAAACGAGCAAGCTGCTCTTCCTGATCACTGATCACCGAAGCAGCCGCCGTCTTTTCCTAAGTGGTCGTTCAAAATGCCATGTCCATAAAACATTCAAACAAGGCCTTGAGCGTTCAATATAGCAAGACACTTGCTAATGATGCGGCTCCCGTTAACGAGGAGCGCATTAATAAAGGCAGAATCGCTAGTCATCTTGCCTCTGATGCCTCCAGGCATAAAATGACGATCATTATTTATAACTTTGCTCTCGGGTGTTTTGGAGTAGGTCTCAAGCAAGGCCGCCAAATTACCGAACTTCTGCCCTGACCCCGGTACCGCAAGAGCATGCTGTTTGATCTCCTGCAACTTCTGCCTCGCCACGCGAAACTGGGGATGGCCGAAGTCGACTACGGCGTTAGCGACCACCTCAAAGGGATACCTGCTGAGAAACTGTTGGTTTACATTGTTCACTAGCACGCGATAATCAGCCACAATGGCAAGACGCATATCCTTATCCGCCTGAGGCTCCCTGACATTGGCTTCAAACCCTTGTGGGTTTTCCGTATACAATTGTACCAGCTGCGCACGCGGAGTGAAATAGTTGCTTTTGAGAAAGGCCTCGGGAATCTTCTGGCCCGCCAGAAAGCGGCCAAAGACGAGCAGCAGCAAGTGATCGAACTCTCCCTCTTTCCGAGTCTGGAGAGAGGGCGCGGTTGTAGTCACCGCCGCGAGTTGGTTTTTCAAACGGACATCTGCGACGCTGTCGCGAACTTGGCGTGTATCTTCAGAATAGTTCAGCAACCTGGATTTTACCACACTCAGGACCGACTCTTCATTGATAAGCTCAGAGTGGCTCTCAAACAAGGCATAGAGCTCTTTTACGCTTTGGAGTTTTTTTAGCTCCAGCAAGCTCAACTTAGCAAGGGGATAGTTTGGTATATACTGCAATGCATTGTGCAGGAAGGACATGAAATTCCGGTGGCAATTTGGTGCTCCAGCCCCCTTTGCTCGGGCCCCTACGGGGAGATATCTCAAGACCTCCATAAAGGACTAAGCGCGTTTGATAATGTGCTCGGGTTGGCTCTCGATAAACTGGAGGACCTCCAGCCACCGCACCTTTGGAATGAGGAAGGCCGAAAGATAACCATCCGCCACCCGCTCAAGCCGCTGTGGTAGACCATCAACGATCCGGACTCGAATATGTTCCATTTTCTTCAAACATACGCTTAACAATCTGGTGATATCCCTCCCGAACTTCTTTCTCTAGTTCTTGTTCAGATTTTTCTGGTAATGACGGAGAAAGCAAAGCTTTCACTGAAAGTCCGCCGCAATAGATTTTTCGTCACAATAGTAGGTGAATTGCTGATTGTTGCAGTCCATAGCGAGGATCAGGCGCTCGCAGCGGTTAAAAGTTTCTCGTACAGTTTGAAGATGAGAGCTTGTTTATTGCCCGTGCCGCCGAAGAGCGGATTAAGAAACCGCTTCACGTTCGACTTATCCGTGAATCGGAAAAGATAGAGAATGTTTGTGTTAACCTTCATGTCCTTTTTGTTGTCAAAGCTCTGGGAGAGGAAGAAGACGTTCAATTTCAGATGATGGCTATACATCGTAAAGAACTTATAGAGGCATTCCCTCTGCGTTCCGCATTTGAGATTCATGACGTCGATGATGACGTAGGACTCCGGTTCTATACTCGTATCCTCGATCGATTCAGGCATGACGGAATAATGCTTCAAGACCGTGTTAGGTTGGATATATTGATCAGCGGAGGTGTTCGAAATGACGTACAGCTTTTTCGAACGAACGTGAGCAAGGAGCCGTTTCATGAAGAAGCTCTTGCCCATATTGTTAAACTTTAGCAAAATTGTTCGGTTTGAGCAAACATTTATTTAATGTAGTGGGCTAATTAAATAAGAAGATTCAATACAAAACTATAATCGTAACTAAAAACTCAGAGGAATGTCAATAGTTTCTATATACAAAAATATCACGTGACTAAATAAACTGAACTATATATGTGGATACGAACTAGCGTTCTATTTTTCGTATAGTGATGCAGTATAATCTTTAACACATATTGCTCTGACCCAAGAGCAAAACATTCTGCACCCATTTTTTGAGTGAAGGCAGAAGCTTGTCAAATCATTCTTTTTTGTGAAATTCAAGCCCGGGGATAGCGGGGTATTTGCCCCCGCCAGTGCTTGTATCGCGCGTGATAACACTTGGAAGAACAGTAGGCGCCGGCGCCTCTGATGGCGTCGGGACGACTGACCCGGGGAATAACAGCCGAAAATCCATTTCGGAAAGATATGCACCGCTCTAAATGTTGAAGACTGGCCGATGTGGGCGCTCGTCGGGGTCGAGGAGGCAGCCCGTAAGGCCTAGGAGATGCTGTTGCTGATGGGCTGATGGAAACGTGAAG